GAGGCAGGAGAATGGCGTGAACCCGGGAGGCGGAGCTTGCAGTGAGCTGAGATCGCGCCACTAAACTCCAGCCTGGGCCGCAGAGCCAGGCTCCGTCTCAAAAAAAAAAAAAAAAAAGACTGCCCAGCACCGAGAGCTATTATGTGGCCAACACCCTTGTGCTCTACGTGAATTAACTCTTCAAATCAATGCCATGAAGTTGGTTCTATTTTCTTGACTTTACAGATTGAGAAAATTGAGGCACAGAGCATTAGAAACATGCCCAAGGTCACAGGGCTAGGAATCGGAGAAGCATGGATCCAAACCTGGTAGGAATGGTATTTAAACTTGGGGTTTGACCCTGAGTAGGCAAGCTACTTAATAGGAGTCTGTCTCAACAGAGATGCCTTAATACTTAAGTGTGAGAAGATTCAAGTTAAAAAGCTTCCTGGCTGGATGTGGTGGCTCACACCTGTAATCCCAGCACTTTGGGAGGCTGAGGCGGGCAGATCATGAGATCAGGGAGTTCAAGATCATTCTGGCCAACATAGTGAAACCCTGTCTCTTCTAAAAATTCAAAAATTAGCTGGGTGTGGTGGCACACTCCTGTAGTCCCAGTTACTTGGGAGGCTGAGGCAGGAGAATTGCTTGAACCCAGGGTTGGCAGAGGTTGCAGTAAGCCAAGATGGCACCACCTCACCCCAGATTGGGTGGGTCAAAGAGCAAAACTCCCTCTCAAAAAAGTTTCCTAATAACCTAGCCCAAGGTTTTTTCCAGTTACTCACCAATCCTACTTTGAGCCCCTTCCCGCCCCTCCGCCCCCTCCGGTTCCCAAGTGCAAGTGTGGTACCTAGCAGACTTGGCAAACTGGCCTGTTTGAATCTTGGTTCCCTCTAGTGACAGAACCAGTTCAGATGGAACACCTATTTCATCCATGCAACATGGCTAGCTGCAGTCATTGTGAGGTAAAATGCCAGATCCTAAGAGCCACAGGTCTCTCCTGCACAAACACAGTAGTGCACGGTAGCGGCACAGCCCAACGCCCAAGCCCCTTTCGTCACTTTCTTCAAGTCTCCGCCAGCCAGGCCATTTGAGGAGCACTCCCTTGTCCTATTAAACAGCAGCTCTAGGCTTAGGGTTTCACCACTGGCATCCGTCGTTACCACCAGGAACAGCTCTCCAGGGTGGTCCCCACCTCATCTGCACCAGTACCAGCGTCATCTGAAAACTTCCTAGAAACTCAGACCTCCTGGATGGGTCTGAGGGCAGGATTTCAGCAATCTGTGGCTTAACAAACCATCCAGGTGATCTCTATCTGTGCTAAGGTTTGAGAATTTCACGTTAGCAGTTCTCAATCAAAAATATGTGATCCCCAGCACTCAGGGGCTTTTGGTTGTCACAAGGAGGGGCAGAGTGTAGCAGAGGTTCTCCGGGCACGTAATGGGTAAAAGCCAGGGAGGCTACACAATTCTTCACAGGGATTATCAAGCTAAGGACAGAGGCAGTGTAAACCTCATTAAGGCAGATTTAACATTTTCCCAGCCCCTCATCCATCACCCAGTGTCTTTTTTTGAGATGGAGTCTCGATGTCGCCAGACTGGAGTGTTGTGGTGCTATCTTGGCTCACGGCAACCTCCGCCTCCCAGGTTCAAGTGATTCTCCTGCCTCAGCCTCCCAAGTAGCTGCGACTACAGACCTGCACCACCACACCCAGCTGATTCTTGTATTTTTAGTAGGGATGGCGTTTCACCATGTTGGCCAGGATGGTCTCAAATCTCTTGACCTCCTGATCCGCCTGCCTCGGCCTCACACTGGGATTACAGGTGTGAGCCACCGTGCCCAGCCCATCCAGTGTTTCCTATTCAATAATGTTCTCCTTTTCACAGTCTGGTAATACAAACAACATGCAGACACAGGCTTTCTTTCCTTTTTAATTTTTAATGACCAAAACAAAGCATCTAAAACCGCAGCTTCTGGAAGAACCACTTGTTCTTGCCTGTCTTGTATCTAGAAGGGAAAAAAAGAGATCATCAATGAGGAGAGGAATGGAAATAGTGAAACCATACTCCACCATTCACTACCAAAGCCTACTTACCTCTCTTCAAACTTGACCTTGGCCTCTCGTCGGGCCTTGCGTTTAAGAGCAGGATCTCTGAAGACATCTTTATTGACAACAGTTTTGTCCAAGGGGATATCCACAGAGTACCTGGGGACAAAGGTGGAGAGGCAGGATTAGCCCACATACTGCCAGAAGCCCCCACACAGCCCAAATCTTTGTGGGACACTAGAGAATCAGGGCTGACTCCTTAGAAGCAACCATCAAAAGTCATATCCTGATGACATTACCTGGAAATCCACACTTTTAACATTTATTGGATTCAAGCCAATAAAATGTAAAATGTAACGTTTCATTCTCAATTTCCCACTACTACTTTACTTTTATAGCTAAGAATCATCAAATTAGGCCTTATTGTTTTATTTTTTTTTTGAGACGGAGTCTCACTGTTGCCCAGGCTGGAGTGCAGTGGTGCGATCTCAGCTCACTGCAAGCTCCACCTCCCGGGTTCACACCATTCTCCTGCCTCAGCCTCACAAGTAGCTGGGACTACAGGCGCAGGACACCACGCCCGGCTAATTTTTTTATTTTTAGTAGAGACGAGGGTGTCACCGTGTTAGCCAGGACAGTCTCAATCTCCTGACCTCGTGATCCGCCCGCCTCGGCCTCCCAAAGTGCTGGGATTACAGGCGTGAGCCACCGCGCCCGGCCAAATTAGGCCTTCTTGACTTGCATCATGACAGTCGGCTGACTTTCTATTTGAAACCATTCCTTATCGTTCAAGTTCTGCCAATGCAGTCACTCTCATGACAGCACAAAAACTAGCTGCCTCAACCCCACCACATCCCAGAACCCGAGAAACAGCTCTCTCTGCCCTTTTATTTTTTTGAGATGGAGCGAGCTCTGTCACCCAGGCTGGAGTGCAGTGGTGCAATCTTGGCTCATTGTAGCCTCCACCTCCCAAGCTCGAGTGATTCTCCCACCTCAGCCTCCGGAAGAGCTGGGATTCCAGATGCCAGCCAGCATGCCCAGCTAATTGTTGTGTTTTTTAGTAGAGATGAGATTTCGTCATGTTGGCCAGGCTGGTCTCGAACTCCTGACCTCAAGTGATCCACCTGCCTCGGCCTCCGAAAGTGCTGGGACTACAGGCATGAGCCACAGTGCCAACCAAGAGTAAATGTGCAGTACCAGCAGCAAACTTTAAGGTGCATGCTGCTGGGTTCTGGCAATTACTGTTCGGGACTTTCTCAATTCTTGCACCTCTTTTTGAAACGGACTTTTGCCCTGTCACCCAGGTTGGAGTGCAGTGGCATGATCTCGGCTCACTGCAAGCTCCACCTCCTGGGTTCACGTGTTAGCCAGCACAGTCTCTATCTCCTGACCTTGTGATCCACTCGCCTGGGCCTTACACCTCTTTTTGAGACGGAGTTTCGCTCTCATTGCCCAGGCTGGAGTACAGTGGTGTGATCTTCGCTTACTGCAACCTCCGCCTCCCGGGTTCAAGCGATTCTCTGGCCTCAGCCTCCCTAGTAGCTGGGATTACAGGTATGTGCCACCACGGCCAGCTAATTTTGTATTTTTAGTAGAGACGGGGTTTCACCATGTTGTTCAGGCTGGTCTCAAACTCCTGATCTCAGGTGATCCATCTGCCCCAGTCTCCCAAAGTGGTGGGATTATAGGTGTCAGCCATTGTGCCCGGCCTCTCATACTTCTTTTTTTTTGAGACGGAGTCTTGCTGAGTCGCCCAGGCTGGAGTGCAGTGGCCGGATCTCAGCTCACTGCAAGCTCCGCCTCCCAGGTTTACGCCATTCTCCTGCCTCCGCCTCCCAAGTAGCTGGGACTACAGGCGCCCGCCACCTCGCCTAGCTAGTTTTTTGTATTTTTTAGTACAGATAGGGTTTCATCGTGTTAGCCAGTATGGTCTTGATCTCCCGACCTCGTGGTCCGCCCGTCTCGGCCTCCTGAAGTGCTGGGATTACAGGCTGGAGCCACTGCGCCCAGCCATCGTACTTCTTAAAAAACACTTGTACTAGGCCAGGCACGGTGGCTCACGCCTGTAATCCCAGCACTTTGGGAGGCCGAGGCGAGGGGATCATGAGGTCAGATCGAGATCATCCTGGCTAACACAGTGAAACCCCGTCTCTACTAAAAATACAAAAAATTAGCCGGGCGTGGTGGTGGGCGCCTGTAGTCCCAGCTACTCGGGAGGCTGAGGCAGGAGAATGACGTGAACCTCGGAGGCGGAGCTTGCAGTCAGCCAAGATCGCGCCATTGTACTCCAGCCTGGGCGACAGAGCGAGACTCCCTCTCAAAAAAACACTTGCACTAAGATAGTGTATGTCCCCAGACTAAAGGGCCCAACAGGTAAGTGAAATTAACTGAGGGAGGCTTGCTTTGGCGCATTCACAGACTTTTTGAAACCTATAGTATTTATCCTTGAGGGTGGAACAGTGGAAGACGGCAGATCAGACCTCATGGCTGTGTTTACTGTGGATGGAAAACAATCTTTACCTAACACTTAAAAGATGGATCAAAGGTAAAACTGGAAACCATGCCCACTTTATGAGTTGAAGAAGAACAATTTGGAAACGATATTCCTTGCTGGTGCTGGAATGGCTGCAAGGTGTGTCTCCTTATTCAACAGAGCGGGGAGAAGAAATTTTAAAATTCTAGTTCTTGAAATGCTCACCTTGTGGGCATTAGGTGATTGTAGTTATAAACTTTCACAAAAGACTTGATCTTTGACCTCTTGGCGATCTTCTTCTTGCCCATGGCAGCTGTCACTTTGCGGGGGTAGCGGTCAATTCCAGCCACCAGAGCATGGCTGTAGGGGCGATCTGAGGTGCCATCATCAATGTTCTAAATGAATAAGAATTACATTTGTTATTCACTGAGGGCCCATTTAGGCCCTGTGTTAGAGGTAGGGCAGTGTCAAAAAAATATTTCCTCCCTCAGGTCTCCAAGACCCACCATTATAAAGAGAAAAATCACAGAAAGTTATGCGAAATGACCAAAGAGAAACAGAACACTGTTTATTTCCACTAGGAAGCATCTGGAACGGCTTATTAGAGGTAAGAGATTTAAAAGTAGCAATAGTTAACATTTAAGTACTTGCTATATGCCAAGCACTGCTCACAAGACTTGGTAACTATTCACTTGCTCCACTGCTAGTAAAGCGTACAGCCAAGGCTAAGACACCAGAGCCTCATTCCAGAGCCCAGTCTCAGGAGATGGGAGAGGGGAATCCAGGGGTACTCCAGTGTCCCCACAACAGCAAAACGCAGTGGCGTATGTGGCCAGAGCCTAGGGAAATTTCTCAAGAAGGTACAAAAACATGGGTAGGAGGAAAACAGTGAGGGGCTACGTGACCTTTTTTTTTTTTTTTTTTTTTTTCTCAGACAGAGTCTCGCTCTGTCGCCCAGGCTGGAGTGCAGTGGCCAGATCTCAGCTCACTACAAGCTCCACCTCCCGGGTTCACGCCATTCTCCTGCCTCAGCCTCCCGAGTAGCTGGGACTACAGGCGCCCGCCACCTCGCCCGGCTAGTTTTTTGTATTTTTTAGTAGAGACGGGGTTTCACCGTGTTAGCCAGGATGGTCTCGATCTCCTGACCTCGTGATCCGCCCGTCTCGGCCTCCCAAAGTGCTGGGATTACAGGCTTGAGCCACCGCGCCCGGCCTACGTGACCTTTCTAAAAGCGATTTCCTCCTCTACTTACAGATTCCCTGCTGCAGCACTTCAGGTAAATAACAGAACACCTCTAAACCTTAGCAACAGGAGGGAACCCCCTATAGCTGGGGATGATGGCGCGCACCTGTAATCCCAGCTATTTGGAAGGCTGAGATGGGAGAATCGCTTGAGCCCAGGAAGTCGAGGCTGCAGTGATCGCGCCACTGCACTCCAACCTGGCCAGAGATCTCGTCTCAAAAAAAAAAGAAAAGGAATCCCCTATGATTACTTCAAGGACTGCACATGACAATACCTGAAAGGCAGTGGGAGCGCATAGCAAGTGTGCAATAAATGTCAGCCATTATTGCTATATATTTAAAGCCTCTGGTGGAGAAGGCGTTATGCGTTAGGAGCCCAATTCAGCTCACATTTGCTTCTACTGTGCCTCTTCCTCTCTCAAAAGCTTTTCCACATTCACCCCGACCGTGCTCACTGGCTACTGCCCCAGAAGCGGGCCTTGAATTCCAAGCCTGCCTGCTCCACCGGAGCCAGCCTGGTCCCGGGATGCAAGGACGCAGAGTCCCGCGAGGCTGATACCTTCACGATGACGGCTTTGCGTCCAGAGTAGCGTCCAGCCAGGACAAGCACCACCTTCCCAGGTTTCATGAACTTGCCCATTTCTGCAGAAAGCAAGGAGAAAGGGCCACTTAAAAATCCATAAAGCCAAAGACGCCCAGAGCCGACTCCTGCCAGCAAGCCCAGGTCTTGGGCCGGAACTTCAGACTGTGTTCACTGTCGCCTTGGTCCAGGCCGCCCGCGGGCCCTGCTCGCAGGACAGGATCGGATACGTAGCCGCCAGAGACCTAAGGAAGGAACGCACCCGGCGCCCCCCGGACCCTCGATCCCCAAGCCGCGGATGGCGGCGGATTGAAAGATTCAACCCAACCTTCCACTCACCGGCAGCAACCACTCAGGCCCACAGCAAAAAGGAAAGAAGAACACTTCCGCTAACCTTTCACCCCGGGGAGGAATGACCTCACTTCCTGTCCCTCGCTTCAGGCTTTGACACGCTACTTGTGTGGTGCTGAGTCTCGAGTTGCGGGCGGAAGAAGCTCATAAGGGGAACGCAGGGCCCGGCAGCTCATGTATTTGAATCAAGCTTTATTAGCAGCTCCAGCAGTAGACAAGAACAAAGGAGAGTCGTCCAGGCGGACTGAAGAGCTGGGAGGGCGTGTGTGCTTTGCGTTCTCTGGACTCAGCAGCTAGGCTTTGTTGTAGTTCCTTTCTCTGGCACTAGGAGGGGGACACAATCTGAAATTTACTTTTTCTCTTGGGAGACACAGGGAAAAAAATAGGGCATTTATTGGTGCCTGTCGGGGGCACGGTTAGCTAAAGAGGGAGGGACAAATATCAGACAAGGGTGGCTGGTCCGATGGTAGTGTGTTATCAGAACTTATCAACGTTAGGGTCACTAAAGTTGGTATACAACCCTCCACTGCTAAATTTGGTTTAAAAAAAAACAAGAAGGATATATACCCCCAACAGTTACAGTCTAGTGGTGTCACTGACATTACCAACTAGAATAAGCATGAGGGAGGTAGAGGAGGAGGATGGCAGCTGCTTACCCTGTGCCAGGCCAGGTTAATCTATTTATGCACATCATCCGATTGGGTCATCATAACACTAAGAGATAGGTACTATTATTATCTCCATTCTAGGGTCGAGGAAACTGGCTTAGAGAGATTTGCCCAGTCTATAGTGGGTAAGCAGTGGAGCTGGGGCTCAGCCTCAAGCAATTCAACTCCTGAGCCCATACTGTTTACCATGTCACCCCTGAGCACCGATTCTCTCTCAGGCAAGATGTGAGCACTTTATATAAGCCAGCAGCCTGTTTAATCTGCACAACTCTGCGTCTTAGGCATTCTCCTCCCATTTAGACATGAGGAAATTGCAATTCAGAGAGGATAAATTGCCTGTCTGAGGTTAATCCTACTCAGTGGCATAGACAGGATTCAAATCTAGGTCTGAATCTAGGTCTAGTTGGCTCTCAAACTGAATTATACTTCCCATCACTCACCAGAAGAGTGTTTTCAGATGGTACCTTATGTGCTTTCCGAGTTTAAGGGAAAGAGAAACTATCTCACAGTTTTTGCTTATCTGAACCTATAGGATTTGTCTTGGGCAAGACGTGGGAACAATCAGGATTTCATCAGTTCTCTTCTGAAGCTCTCCAGTGATACAATTTTCCCTGTATCCCTCAGGATCCCATTGCAATGGCTTTTGTTTTGTTTTGATTTTTTGAGAGACTGGGTCTCGCTCTGTCCTCCAGGCTGAAGTGTGTAGCACAATCATGGCTCACTGCAGCCTCAACTCCTGGGCTCATGATCCTCCCACCTCAGCCTCCTGAGTAGCTAGGACTTCAGGTGTGGGCCACCATGACCATGTAATTAAAAAAAACAATAACAAAGAACTTTTTCTTGTTTTGGTAGAGATGGGGACTCACTATATTGCCCAGGCTGGTCTCAAAAACTTGTGGGATCAAGTGATCCTCCTACCTGAGCCTCCCAAAGTGTTGGGATCACAGGCAAGGCACTGTGCCCGGCCCCATTCCAATTTTTTTTTTTTTTTTCAGACGGAGTCTCACTTTGTCACCCAGGCTGGAGTGCAGTGGCACGATCTCAGCTCACTGCAACCTCCACCTCCCAGATTCAAGTGATTCTCCTGCCTCAGCCTCCTAAGTAGCTGGAACTATAGGCTCCCACCACCACACCCGGCTAATTTTTATATTTTTTGTAGAGATGGGGTTTCACCATGTTGGCCAGGCTGGTCTCGAACTCCTGGCCTCAAGTGATCCGCTTGCCTCAAACTCCCAAAGTGCTGGGATTACAGGCATGAACCACCACGCCTGGCCTCCAGTAGTTTTTAAAATGTCTTTTTCTTATATATTTCATTTTTTAAAGAGATGAGGTCTTGCTATGTTGCCGGGCTTGAATGCAGTGGCTATTGACAGGTGTGATGTAGCTTCAAACTCCTAGCCTCAAGCGATCCTCCCATTTCAGCTTGCCAAGTAGCTGGGACTAAGCCACCTTACCCTCCAAATCAAATTAGTAACTAAATCCTCTGAATTTTGTCTTGTCTTTTATTTTTGAGATGGAGTCTCACTTTGTCGCCCAGGCTGGAGTGCAGTGGCATGATCTTGGCTCACTGCAACATCAGCCTCCTGAGCTCCAGCAATTCTCCTGCCTCAGCCTCCCAAGTAACTGGGACTACAGGCACATGCCACCATGCCCAGCAATTTTGTATCGGCTAATTTTGCATCTTTAGTAGAGATGGGGTTTCACCATGTTGGCCAGGCTGGTCTCGAACTCCTGACTACCCACCTTGGCCTCCCAAAGTGCTGGGATTACAGGTGTGAGCCACCGTGCCCAGTCAGGATGCTTATTATTATATTACTATTATTATTATTTTTGAGACAGAGTCTCCCGCTTGCTCCCAGGCTGGAGTGCAGTGGCGCGATCTCGGCTCACTGCAAGCTTCGCCTTCCAGGTTCACACCATTCTCCTGCCTCAGCTTCCCAAGTAGCTGGGACTACAGGCGCCTGCCACCACACCCGAGTAATTTTTTGTATTTTTTAGTAGAGACAGGGTTTCATGGTGTTAGCCAGGATGGTCTCCATCTGCTGACCTCGTGATCCGCCCACCTCGACCTCCCAAAGTGTTGGGATTACAGGCATAAGCCACCGTGCCCGGCCCCCGGGATGCTTATTAAGTGTCTCCAACCTTAGAGATGGTAATTCTGGACTGGAGGGGAGCCATATGATCTATAGATCTTATTTTGAGCAACAGCTTTAAATAACTTTTTCTTGAGAAGTCCTTAACTTTTCTTGAAATCCATTGTTGGCTTATTCAATAGTGTGAACTTTCACTCCTTTCCTTCCTTGCCACCTTTCCTGCAGCATAAATTCCTGACTCCCCCACCCTTCATACCCCCTGGGCTGTTCCTTGTGTCTTTTTCTTCCTCTCCAAGTAGCCAGGCAAAATCCTATTCAAATTCTATCCGTCCTTCAAGGTTATTCCAGAATTCTCCCAGGCAGAATTAATCTCTCCTTTCTCTGAGCTCTCTCAGCAATCCAATCTGTACTTACCTTTATTACAGAACATAATCTTAGTTTGGATATGAGTGGTTCTCATCTCAAAGTGTGCTTCCCAGAGCAGCAGCATCACCATCACCTAGGAACTTGTTAGAAACCAAATTCTCACGCCCCACCCCAAAACAACTGAATAAAAAACTCTGGGGATGGGATCCAGCAATTTATATATATATATATATATATATTTTTTTTTTTTCTTTTGAGATGGAGTCTCACTCTCACCCAGGCTGGAGCGCAGTGGCACAATCTCGGCTCACTGCAAGCTCTGCCTCCTGGGTTCACGCCATTCTCCTGCCTCAGCCTCCCGAGTAGCTGGGACCACAGGCGCCCACCACCGTGCCCGGCTAATTTTTTGTATTTTTAGTAGAGATGGGGTTTCACTGTGTTAGCCAGGATGGTCTCGATCTCCTGACCTCGTGATCCGCCCACCTCGGCCTCCCAAAGTGCTGGGATTACAGGCGTGAGCCACCGCGCCCGGCCTAGCAATTTATATTTTAACAATTTTTCCAAATCTCCAATTGGTATGGTATCTCCTTTGCTCGATTGTGTTTGTTGAGGGCACGGGGTAGGTTTACTTACCTGTTTCTTTAGCATCTAGCCTGGGCAGGCAGTTGCTAAGTGATCAATAGTGAATGAATGATTGGAGAGCACCTTAAACAGCTTTAACAATACTTCGCAGATCATACTTGTACAACACACCCTACACTTCCCCTGCATACATATCCATGGCTCTTTACCCTTCCATTCTTGCGTATCCTTGGATATGGGTGGACTGGCCTGTCTCTCCTCCCTTGTCCTGTCTCACCCTAAGCCAAGGACAGAGCTCTGTTCCCAGTAATGACAGATGATATCAGAACTTAGCAGATATCTGACTGCAGGGATGCTGATGGAATTGCTGGAATTGTCTCAGTTGATACACACATTTAGGTTTCAAGAACCTGGACATCAAAGTCATGGCTGCCTGCCTGTCTCCCTGCAGTATAGTCCTTTCGGAGCTGAAATTTCTGGCAATTGTGTGGAAAATACCTTCTCCTGCCCAGAGTGAAGGTAGGAATGAGGGTGGTGGATAAAGGAGAAAGAGGAACCAAAATCTAGAAACAACATGATACAATGAAGTGACAAGATAGACTATGGGCTTTGGATTCAGGAAACTTGACTCTAAATCTCAGGAATTCCATCATCATGTAAACGGGGACAGAATATTTAACCTCTCTGCAGTTCAGTTTCCTCAGCTGTAAAGTGGGGATAATACTGTCCCACCTTGTAAGTAGTGAGAATTAAATTAGAATGAGACAAATTAAAATGCTTCCTGTAATGCTAGCATAAGGCCTTAATACAAGTTTTGTTTTTGTATTTGAAAAAGGCAATACTGGGGTGATCGCTGGGCTATGCCATATGGCTATACCAGTTACCACCCACCCTAACTGATATCCAGACAAGTGGATTTAAAAGTGCCAATCCTGGCCAGGTGCGGTGGCTCACACCTATAATCCCAGCACTTTGGGAGGCCAAGGTAGGTGGATCACCTGAGATCAGGAGTTCAAGACCAGACTGACAAATGTGGTGAAACCCCATCTCTATTAAAAATACAAAAGTTTGGGCCAGGCACGGTGGCTCATGCCTGTAATCCCAGTACTTTGGGAGGCTGAGGCGGGTGGATCACGAGGTCAGGGGTTCAAGACCAGCCTGATCAACATGGTGAAACCCCATCTCTACTAAAAATACAAAAATTAGCTGGGCGTGGTGGTGGGTGCCTGCAATCCCAGCTACTCAGGAGGCTGAGGCAGGAGAATTGCTTGAACCCGGGAGGCGGAGGTTGCAGTGAGCTGAGACTGCGCCATCGCACTCCAGCCTGGGGGACGGTGTGAGACTCCGTCTCAAAAAAAAAACAAAAAACAAAAAACAAAAATTAGTCAGGCATGGTGGTGTGCGCCTGTAATCCCAGCTACTCAGAAGGCTGAGGGAGGAGAACTGCTTGAACTCAGGAGGCAGAGGTTGCAGTAAGCTGAGATCGCGCCATTGCACTCCAGCCTGGACAACAGAGCGAGGCTCTGTCTCAAAAAAACAAAACAAAACAAAACAAAAAAAAACAGTGCCAATTCCAAAAGCAGCATGTGTGACATCTGTTGTGGGGAGGCACTATGGGTGTGGGCAGGAGGGGATGGTCATGCCAAGGGGACTTTTTAGTGAACTTTTTCAGGCAAAAAACCCCTACTACCACCACCAAAGGTGAGATGATCCATCGCAGAGGATAGAGGATATAGGCAGCTTTAAAAAAAAATTGATCTGGATCAGATGGGCTGATAAGGCCCAAACACTTACAAACCAAAGCTGCAGGTCTCTAAGGTCTTCAGAGAAGCTACAGGAAATACTATGATTTCATTAGCATCCACATAGGTATCATTTTCCACAACATTTTACAATTCTCTTGTTTCACAGGGAAGGTGTACTAATTATAATGAAGTATCAATAACGTATCTTAAATAAGTAACATGTTGCTGGAAAAAATTTAAGTTAAAATGCACTACATAATAGTGCAGAAACAAAGTGCAGGTGGCAATTTTAAGACATGAAAACAATGCTGAATTAGTAGTGTCTGGAGTGATCCATTTTGCCCATCTTTGGCCAGTCCTAGAGCAGTACTCACCACAAGCTGCATGACAAATGTGAACTAATGAGGCTAAAATACTGAAGACCAAATAGAACCACTCTAGAGTCTATTTCACAATGAGATACTCCTCCCCCTGTTCTGGAAACAGTGATCTGCTGTAGTTCCTATCCTCCTGTGGCACCTATCTCCGCTGCAGTACCTATAACCAGATGTCCTCCATCATCCAGCCTCCAGGACAAGTGGTGCCCAGTGAGTCACAACCTGAGGAACAGCTGCTGGTTACCGATTTGTATTCCTGTACATACTCGACTTGGGTAGCCAGGATTTTCTCGTTTGTCTTGAATATATTTACTTCTAAAGACTGTGTTAGTCTTGTTGGGAGGTGAGCAGAGGAATGTTTACTTGCTAAAGAACATAGTAACGAACACGGTTCTCACCCCTCATAAACAGAAAGCCCATTGTCTGTGCCGTGAGGACTACCTTGTCAGGAAGATTTTACTTCTTACCTCTACAAGAAAAAAGGCTCGTATTAAAATCAACCTGTGGTCACCACCCTTAGAAATGTTGTTTCAGATATTCCTATTCCTAGTCTTAGAGGCAGAAATGGAATATACAGTCTCCTCTGACCTTGGAGTCAGGAAGAAAAGGAAATCTATTCATAAAAGGAACTTAAATTCTGGCCTTGGCCTCTCAAACCTGCTTCAAGTGAAAGAAGATAGCTCAACTAACAGGAGCCTCAAGTTGAATGTCTTCTTTTTTTTGAGATGGAGTCTCCCTGTGTTGCCCAGACAGAGTGCAGGAGCCCACCTCCTGGGCTCAAGCGACTCTCCAGCCTTAGCCTCCTGAGTAGCTGGGATTACAGGCGTGAGCCACTGCGCCCGGTCTGGTAGAACCTTCTTAACAAGAGGGTCTCTCCAGCACATCTTTCCGAGATGCTAAGTTGGTGGGGAAAACAGACTTTGCACTCATTTGGCCAACTGCCTGAGCAGGGTCTGGCGAAAAAGCCTTTAACCCCACCTTTGATTCCTTGCTGCTATGCTGGAAGACTAACACATCTATCTCTACTGAGCAAGGAGCTTGTCTGGGGTTAGGGCACTCTTATCAGAAGGCATCTTTGATGTTTTTGAGCTGGCGCACAGCCAGATCTACAGGGAGGCTAAACTTGAGGCTGCTGAGGCGACTGAGCAGGTTGAGGGCGCTCTCAAAGCCTGTGTGTGCCATGTAGCTCCAGGGCTGGTAGTGAGGCTCGATGAGTGACCCAGACTTGCAGATGAGGTTCACCCAGGACACCAGACGCTGCTCATTCAGTGCCATGCACACCAAGGCCTTCAATTCTGAGTCTGCACTGCGCTTAAAAGGGTCGTGCTCTGTCAGCACCATGTGGATGGCTGTCAGCAGGCTCTGTTTGGGGGTCACAACAGTGCCTCCCGTAACAGGAAGGGCAAAGGACTGGGAGAGCTTCCGGGCTGGGGATTCCACATAAGCACGGCCGTTCTTAGCATGGTAGTACTTTACAAAGAGCTCCCAGGGGTGCATGGCCTCAGGGGCCGAGGAGAAGGCTGGCAGCAAACAAGCAATAGGAGCCATAACAAGACTCATCCCTGGGGAGGAGGCATACAGTCCATGGGCCAGCAGGTCCCTTACAGCCACCGTCAGCTCCTTCCGCACAGCCATAGTCAGCTCATCCTTGCCTCCCAGAGAGAGGTCCTGGAGGTTGGCAGAGGTGATGACATGGTCGTGTGGCTGCTGCCTCAAGGCTAGCTGCTTCACTCTGTCCACTGACACCTCCAGCCTCTTTAGCAAGGGAGAGTAGTCTCGGTCAGCCTGGCCCCTCTGCCACAGGGTTGGAGGGATCTGGCCTGTGGCACAACCAAATTGGCTAACAGCAAAGATCTGGAGCACTGCCAGCGCTCGCCTCATCAGGTGCAGCCCTGTCTCCCGGACTTTCTTCACATCCTCCGCCTTTGCTGCTTAGAAAAGACAATAGTTCATTAGTGAGAGGCCGTGATGGCACGGAGCTACATTCAACAAATCTCAGGCTGAGATCAGTCTGAGCCACATGCTGGGTCTCACATGAAGGCAAGAGCCACCCAGGATGTAGCTGGGCCTCCTTTTTTTGGTTAATAACTGTATTGAGATATAATTCACATACCATATGATTCACCCATTTAAGGTGTTTAATTCAGTGGTTTTTAGTATATTCAGAATTGTATAACTGTCACTGCAATCGATTTTAGAATATTTCATCCTCCCCAAAAGCAATTCCATACCATCAGCATTTCTCATTTCCCTCTTCTCCTCAGCATACCCAAGCCCTAGGCAACCACTCATCTACTTTCTGTCTCTAGAGATTTGCCTGTTCTGGAAATTACACTTACTTCTGCTGTCTCCTGGAGGCGGTCTGCTGCTGCCTGTTCTGCTGCAGCCATTTCCTGTCTTCCCACCGGCCTTGCACTCACAGTGTCCACCACCTGTCTGCAAGGGGCTTCCCACTTCATCTGGAATCAGAAATTATAGGAGAGACACTTATTTAGCCCTTTATGGCAGATCTTTAAAGGAAAAATAATACTTAACGGTGCCTATTACAAACAAGAATTTCACAAAATCTTGTCCTATTTAATTGTGTAAAATGAGGACTGGCATACAGTAGTTGGCTCAATAAATATTTGCTAAGTGAATGAACCATGAATCATTTTATGGATGAGAAGAGTAAGACTAAAGAGGTTAGTAACATGCTCAACGACATAAAACCAATGAGTAGGAGAGTGGAGCTTTTAACTATCTGATTCTGAAACCCATGCTCTTTCTACGCTGCCAATGCTGTTTCCCCTACTAAGCCATCAAGCCTCTTAAACAGTACATCAAGAATTGGCACCTTTTGGCCGGGCGTGGTGGCTCATGCCTGTAGTCCCGGTACTTTGGGAGGCTGAGGTGGGCGGATCACTTGAGGTCGGGAGTACGAGACCAGCCTGGCCAACAGTCTCTACTCTCTTTAGTAGAGACTGAAACCCCGTCTCTACTAAAAATACAAAAATTAGCCAGGCGTGGTGGCGGGAGCCTGTAATCCAAGCTACTCGGGAGACTGAGGCGGGAGAATCGCTTGAATCTGGGAGGCGGAGGTTGCTGTGAGCCAAGATTGCGCTGGAGGTTGCTGTGAGCCAAGATTGCGCCACTGCACTCCAGCCAGGGGAACAGAGCGAAACATTGTCTCCAAAAAAAAAAAAACCCCAGAATTGGCACCTTTTTACTAGTACTCAGAATATAATTATTATGACATCTAACCTTGGATGAAGTTGATGAACATCTCGAGGTCTCGGATCTGAGTTTTTAGTTGCTCAACCAACTGTTCTTTGACTCGGGCTGGGTTGACGATCTGAGCCACTGCTGCATCTACGCGCTGACGAAGCTCTTCAGTGGACAGGGAACTGATGTCCTCATTCAGATTCATGTCCAGTTTCTTTATTAACTCATCTATGATCACCTATCAAGATCACAGGCAATGAGCACACCCTTTGGAAATTTTTAGGGAGAGGGTTAGGGAGAAGAATCTAAATATGTCTTCTGTCCTTAAATGGAAGTAAAAAAACAGACCTCTAAATTTGTGAAAGAAAATGACTTAACTACTGATTGATCAAGGTGAGGACACAGATTCTCTACTTTTAAAGTAAAAAGAACCCTTAGTTCTCTGATAAAAATGGATCCTCCCACTCACAGTAAATTTCTACCAGGCTAGTCAGATTTCACTCAGAAGAACAACAGTATGAAAAATCCAAAGTGGCTGATGATCCAACAAGCCTTATACTTAGTTGCTCTAAAGGCTTCATTCAAGGAAATATACACTGATTTTTAAGAGACAGGGTCTTGCTCAGTCACCCAGGCTAGGGTCCAGTAATGTGATCATAGCTCATTGTAACCTCAAACTCCTGTGCTCAAGCAATCCTTCTGCCTTGGTCTCCCCCATAGGTGGGACTATAGACACACGCTACCACCTGGTTAATCTTTCAATTTTTCATAGAGACGGGGTCTTGTTATGTTGCCCAGACTGGCCTCAAATTTCTGGCCTCAAGAGATCCTCCCACCTCAGCCTCCCAAAGTGCTGGGATTATAGGCGTGAGCCACCGCACCCAGCCGATTTTTCTTACTTTTATTGATTTATTTATTTTGAGATGGAGTCTCGCTCTGTCACCCAGGCTACAGTGCAGTGGTGCAATCTCGGCTCACTGCCAGCTCC